ATATATTTGTAAGTACATACATATTATAGATAAATCACACTCAGATTGATTATGAAGTGAAGTGATTATGTTTTGATGTAAAGTTTCTTTTATAAGGATATTATAGATAGGTTTTACTAGATTTAAAAAAATACAAAATGCCCCTAATGATGAACATGATGATGACTAATGAACCACTGTTCATGCCCCTAACAATGAACAGTGGTTCATTAGTGAAGCAAACACGCTTCTTAAAATTGCATGCTTTGGGCATATATACTACATTATTTTCAATATCATGTTAAATTGCTAACTTTAGAACCGCTGTTTGATTTAATGAACGGGATTTCACTACGGGCCATGCGGTCAATAATGTCCAAAATGGTTGAAGTGAATGAAATGGGTGAGTTTTTTAGTAAAGAATCATAACACATCGTACATTTTGTTATGATTTAAAGTCACCGTAACTCGGCTTCCTTCAATTGTCAGAGTGTATGCCATGCCATGAACGTCTGCAACTGTCACAAATGTGTTGTCGGTCTTTTAGGAAGGAGAACGCTCTTTCCTTGAAGGTTTGAAGGTCGTATCGGTCCGGAACTACCGCAGACGATAACCCATTCCACAGGTTGGTTGTGCGGGGCAAAAAGTGTCTCGAAAAGTACACAGTAGTGGAGCGCCTATTATCCAGGTAATGTTTGTTTTTTTTTTTCAAAATAAAATTACTAACAGCTACCAAACAAGCGCCTGTTAAACATTACCTATAATAATCGCATGTTAGTCGGATGTCTTGGGTTGCCGAATTTTCAATAGGCGCTTAAGCCCCTGTCAGTAGTATAATGTCTTGTAAAAATACTACTTAAGAGAAAATAAGACCAAATAGAAAGACTAGTTAAATACTGCTAATAATTGCCATGGTGAATTTTGTTAAAAAAACTGACTGTTAAAAATATAATAATATCTTGAGATATATTACACAGGTCCGTCTGATCCTATACTAGGCAGGGCCGTAGGGAGCCTACCAAAACACTACACATAAATACTAATATTAGTTTTGACAAAACGAAGCCCAAATTTTTTGAAAGAAAAGTCCCTATCGGTATGGTAGATTGTTATACTTAATTAATAATTCCATTAACAATCCCATTTTTTGAGTGGAATTAGAGTTATCATAAGAAGTTGTGTCGAACAGACTGTCCGGTCAGTTTAAATAACTTTACTAGTCTCACTTGTTACTATGTAATCAAGTCTTAGCTGTTCATTTTAATTTACTTCCAGTTGTTAAGTAGAAATGAAACTTTGTATGTATGTATATGTAGTTTGGATGACAATCCTGTGTGTTCTGGAAATGTAGTATTTTTAAGGGAAAATTGGTACTTAAATGCGATAATCGAAAAGATTATGTCAGTTAACAAACAGTAGAAAATGTTAGCATAAAAAAGGTCCGTAAAACTATTGACGGCCGCTAACAATTTCCTCGTGTATTGCCACAAAAGTCTAGCAGGCGCTGTGATCGAACATGCCCCTTAAGTTGAAAACAGTAGATCGGCTTTCGACTACACGTAGCATCAACCGGCAGCGGGCAGGTCCTGTTTAAGGCTCTCGTAATCACTCTATGTATACTGCATCCTCCATGTATTAAACCACTAAATACATGGAGTAGATGTAAAATAAACTCACACTTAGGCCTTATACCTGTTGTGAGCCAAACGCGTCGTTGTGGTAAATACTCGTATTCAATTTTGAAATATTACGACTCCGTGAGTCAAAATGATGCATTATTAAATTTTAAGTGACTTTCTAGACTTTGACGCAACTTAATATTAGTGTTGTTATTAATGGGAAACTACTCGATATTATATATTATCGCATTTTATTTGGTTTATATATTGCTGTTTTATATTTGTGGTTGTTCTGACATCCGACGTATTTAATAATAAAATAACATGTAGAAATTTGAAAGGCAGTGAGAGCATCTATCTTTTGTTTTGAAGGATATTTTACATTTGTTTCTACTCGTAATAAGCAAAAGACAACTTAAAGGTTTACATATTATCATCTTGCGATGAAGTCGCCACTATCAATAATTGAATATGTTTAGTGAATCTACCGGAAAATCGGAAATGATTATTTACTTATAAATCAAACTAAGAGCGTAGTGGATACACTAGATAAAATGTGTTCGTTGATGTCCTGTAATGGGAAGATGACTACGAGTAGATGGTCTATGGCTTTTTATGGAATCATCAACAGTCTTTATTAGTCCACTGCTGGACATAGGGCTCTCTTTAGAAAAGAGGTTTTGGCCTACTATACCACGTTGGCCAGACGGGTTGGTATAGGGTTTGTGTCAAGTTTTCCTTGTCTCTGCAGTGTTGTTGTTCTGCGTAATTTTTTCCCTTAGTTGACTCTTACAACACCCACGGGATGAATAGGGGTGGTGACAATCTGTATTCTTAATCCGTCACCACACGGACGAAATTTAATGGAATGATCAATATTAATTAATGCTTATTTTATATACAGCCAAAAGTGACAAGCCTCAAGACAAGAAATAGTTTCGGAATAATATGACGAACTAGCTTTTGCCCGCGACTTCCTCCGCGTGGGGACATGACTGTACCATTTACCTGCTTAGTGTTTAATTTGAGTCGTCTACATAATCGTTCCGTCATAAAACACGATGTGTTACTGCTATCAAGCATTGCTCGCACTATATTCTCACGATATCGTTTCAATCGTATAACTTGATGAGAGCGGTAGACAATAACACACCGCGTTGTTTACGCTCGCCTCGAGACGAACCGGTATCCGCAGCCAAATTTAAATTATTTGCGACATTTGTACTCGCATTATTACAAGCTACGGCGTCAGCAGGCGATGACGTTAGTGCTTAATGCGAAGAGCCAACTTCGAATGTGTTATTATTATGAATTTTAAGGTCATTTTTATTATCTGATTAATGTATTAAAGTGGTATGAAGACTGTAGAAATGTATTTAGATTGCATTTGACTAATTTCCGACAGAGTCGTTTGAGATGCCATGTCTAATCTAATCATAACAGCTTAATGTAATGTTTGTCTCACGTCTTCTTTCATTATCTCAGTAATATTATCTGTATGCGCTAGGTTTTATAACTGGACGTTTTTTTTTGTTATTTTCCTCATATGAGAATCAGCGATCAATGAAAACGACAAGTGCACTTATCGCCCCTTAATCAAAATAAAAAAAGTCTTTAGAGACGTGAAAATAAAAATAAAACTTTTCAAAATATACCTACACTATAATCTCAAAATGAACTTGGAAGCATTTTTTCATTCTTATGATATATTTTATTCATAATACAGGATTTTGGTACACGGCCTGCCAAATGTAGGATCAGACAGACCAGAGTGACCAGAGTATGAGTTTATCGATTTTCAACTCGATTATCACGTTGACCGCGTTCGTCGTTGCAATTGCGTCGAGAGCCTCTGTGTAAAGATGTCTCTAGTGATTACATTATTATTAGTGTTCTTTTATTCGTTTAGCATTTTATTCCACTACTGACAGTGACTAGAAAGTTTCTAAAAAAGCGCTAAAAATTCGGCTTAAATTTTTTGACTAACATACGATTATAAAGACATTACATACATTACACATATTCAGAAGTACTTTTAGCAGAAATATCGGCTACAAATTTTGAACATATGGAATACTGATCTCATCTCTATGCTGGGCACCCTATGAGAAGCTGGTACTAAGGTGCCCCTGCATGCAGTCCATAGAGACTGGTAGAAAATTGTCCAAATCACGAAAAAATGGTGGCCCATTGGAGCATGGTCTGGCGAGTACGGAGGATGACGTATGGTTTCTAACTGCAGCTCCTATAGAGTTACAACGGTTTCTCGTGCAGTGTGAAGTCCTGCGATATTAGTATCATGGAGCAATAATGGTGAAGATCGATTCACGAGTCGGGGCTGTTTCACTACCAGTTTTGCCATCATTGTTAGAAGTTCAGCACAGAAATGCTGCTGTTATTGCCTGACTAAACCTGAGAAAGCTATAGTGAATCACACCATGAAGAGACCACCAAACAGTTACCATTACCTTTTTATTGGTATAGTTTGCTTTAGGGTTTCAACACGCCTGACGATGACAAGTGAGGCCATCTGTAACTCTTGCAGCGCTAGATGGCGCTGCAAGTAACGGGTAATGGAAGATTACTGATATTTGACATGCTACTGCCTTGTAGCCGCATCCGAAGCCTGGCGCGGCACGCCCGTCTCCAGATTGGAAGCGATTACTGTGCGACCTGGTTGCAAACTGAAGAAGTCCCAGACAGGAGGGGCGGGCTCCCGTCACAGGGTACGGCGTGACCCGTCTGCTCGTTTGCACCCTATTACGTAAATGAGACTAAAATTATATTTTTTTATGTATCAACGAACGTATTAATGTTCATCGTCAAATTCGTAAATAACGAACTTAAACATTAATAAAACTTATACTGACGATGAACATTTTAATAGTTATTAATTCAATGATCCTTGTAAAAATAAATAGATGCCAAATCTCTTATAATCAATAAAAAAGAAACAAATTAAACCTTAATAATATACATATACTGTAACTAACTAACCCGTCATCACAAAATATGACGTGATTCTAACAATATCCAAAACTACACGAGTTTTCGTCAGCGGTATTATTATCGCAAAGCCGATAGTAATCTACCACAAGAGATTGATCACTTATATACTCCCGTTGCAAATAAAATCTTCAAACAGTCACTCATAATGTAAACAAGTATATGCATTCAACTGAATAGTGAAGTAATGTGTTAAAAGTGTTTGCTATAATGAATACTGATACAGAAAAATATAATAATAACCATAATCATATGAACCATAATAATGTAAATATAAGTCAAGATGAAATTGAAAAAGAGGATTCGAGTTTCAGAGAGAAAGTTGTCAATGTATTCAAAAATATAACTGTAGAACCATGTATATTTATGGTCATAACTGCAAGCACTTTACACAATATGGCATCGCAGAACTTGCAGTTGGAAAAAGCATGTAGAGTGAATTTAAACTTTTCAACAGAAATTTGTGATTCTTTAATACTGCAAGACGGTGAGGCTCATAGTGATTATGAAAGAGACACGCAGCAGCTGTTAGCGAATACCCTTACATGGAAAACTTATTTGACGGCAACATTGAGCTGTATTATTGCGCTTTTTGTTGGTTCTTTCTCTGATAAAACAGGACACAGGAAACTTTTCTTGATCGTTCCGATGACTGGATACATACTTAACGGTATTAACAGTATGTTAAATGTGTATTTCTTCTATGAGACCAGATTGGAAATTGTTGTCCTTGTTGGGGCTATCATTGAAGGATTGAGTGGAGGGTGGGTTATTTTATTTATGATATGTTTCGCTTATATTAGTACTATTACTAGTGATAAAGATAGAACCTTCAGAGTCGGCATTCTGGTCTTCTGTGTAACTCTTGCCTCACCCGTTGGAACGGTGCTAAGTGGGGTTTTATTAAATGCTTTGGGGTACTATGGTATAATTGGAATATTTATCTCCATAAATATGGTTAGTGTACTTTACACCATTTTTGTGATTAAAGATCCAAAGAAAAGTCCTGAGCAACAAACGGTAAGTGTAATATTTAATTTTATTAATTAACTCTTTGATTATTTCTTAATCTATAAAAATATGTTAAATGTAATAGTTTTTATTCTGATACCTCCAAGTTTCATTGTATTGTCATATAATAATAATCATCTGCCATCGGCACAAAGTTTGAGTTACCTTATTAAGTCCATCTCGACTGATACTTGATTAATTTTAATCGTTTTTTCACAGTACAGCGGCGCAAATTGGTGTCAGTTACTCCGAGCTTTTTTCGATATAACAAATATAAAAGACACATTAAATTTACTTATCCAAAAGGCTCCTAATAGTAGGAGGGTACGTTTGTGTACCCTCTTACTTGTCATTGTTGTACTATTTGTGAGAAATGGATACTTTAACATATTATTAGGTATCAATATGCAAGGAACTTGAAATGTCAGACTTCGGTTTAACATTTACAAAATATTTATGCATTATTTATCGAAAACTTACTTTTGTCAATAGCGTTTTAAACTGAATAACTCCAAAATTTGATTTGCCTCAATGACTGCAAAAATCTTTTTTTTTTCTTTTTTCCAACCACCAAAGTTTTTGTCTCCACTCGGGCCGACTAAAAACCCACACACTATCTCGGGTACCAGTAGCCGGGGAACCAGATGTAGCCTAGTCAGACGGACCCTAGGCCATCATAAATGACCCCCTCATGTGTGAGAACCACGGCATTCCTTTTCTACTCCCTAAAATGCGCTTTTGCTAGGGTGACAGATGGCCTCACTTGTCACCTCCAGCCATACGCTGTGAGAGTTCTAAACCTCTCCCGGTTCCACTCCGCCGTCTCTATTGCAAGCTAACTAGTTTACAGAAGAAGACCCATTATCATCGTTCCCATTCGCTGTGGAAACAAAGCTCAATAATAGTGGCAGTTGAAATGATAATTTAAACCCATTAGTTTAAAGATTATTTAAATTTTAAGGGTTTTTTTTTAGTTTGTTTTACTTTAATTCTATTTCAGGTGAAACATCCATTATGTATTTGGCCGTGAGATACAGATTCCAGTGGGATGAAGTCCAATATAGTTTATTCCAGAGTTATAATTTATTTACGAATTTCTTGGGTAAGTAGTACAATAAATTAAAGTATAGTAAAGTATGTCGTTATTGTTTTTATTAAGTAGATACAGTTGTTGAAGGTAAATAAAATTCAAGTAACATCAATCAGCACATTTTGAACATGCAATAATTAAAAAATTAAAAAAAAAGTAATAACAATATAATGAATAGCTATACATGTTTAGACTCCAAAAATTCTTTAACACACTATTGAGCCTTTTTCAGTTAGCCATTTCTTTAGACGTACACCAAACAATTTAAAGGCTAATTCTCTTAGATTTTGGGGTATTTTGTAATAAACCTAAAATAAGTTTTGATGTATTATCTAGCTTTTTAAGCATTCCTAATTAAACTAAAACTTCGTGTCTCTAACTTTACTATTTGAGTTTTTAACATAAAGTAAATGTAATAATTAAAGTTATGTTTCAGGTACGATGCTGTCAATTTTGGTTTTGATCAAATATCTTGGATGGCACGATTCTTTGGTGGGCATCATATCTATATTGAGTAAAATTGCCGCCTCGTTTATCTACTGTTTTGCTCAAACTGGACTCGTATTTTACTTCGGTAAGCTTTTGTGAGAAAAGCTATAAGCAGCTTTTTAATTCTTAAAAAATACCCAATATCACATTTTTATTTTATCACATTTTTATTATTTATGAAATGAAAATACAATTAATGCACATATTAAACAGAAAGCTTGTTATTATTGGTAATAAATTAGGTGATTATATAGGCTAGTCAACAAGTTCAAAACGTGTTAATCCTTGATAAAGCTACTAAAAATATGAGCGATGGCTGATTCGATTCGGAATGATATCTAGAAAAATGTATTGAAAGTACGTATTAGCACATAAAAATTATTAACAAATTAAGATTAACAAAAAACTAAATGCTATCTCATTTAGTTTTTTGTTAATAACTCAAAAATTATTAAAAGGAGAAAATTGGCTAGAAAAAGTTCTGACTCCCGGAACTCTTCATCGCCGATAATAGGGATCCGCCCAGCCGTAACGTCATAGGCGCACTACCGCTAAAGACAGTGTACCAAATTACAAATTTACATTATACCATATTTACAACATTACTTATCATGTTAAATAATTGTCAATTTCTGATTTCAGGACCCATGTTTGATGTAATGAACGGGGTTTCACTATTGGCCATGCGGTCAATAATGTCTAAAATGGTTGAAGTGCATGAAATAGGTAAGTTTTATTCGTTTATTAGTAGGTATTTTTATTGGTGGTATTCTGTTATGATTTGTAGTCACCGTAACTAGGCTTCTGACATTTGGCAGTTGAATGAGGAATGCAGCTTCTGTTCGAAAATAGAACACGTCCCCTCCCTTGCCTTGCTGCTGTTATATATAAGTAAATAACTTTCTATGGAAAATAAGATTAAACCCCTACAAAATGTCAATTTGAAACCTGTGCCTTGTTTAAAACTCTTGATCTCTGATAGAGATTTTTAGTATAGAAATGGTATTTTGTGAAACTTTTGACATATTATATTTTACTATTTCAATTATGTATATTCTGTTTAAAAGTATACTCTGTTAATATTCATAATCTACTTTACAGGTAAACTAAGTTCTGTTGTTGGAATAGTTGAGAATCTGGCGCCTTTGATATATGTGCCGCTTTACGCGGAGTTGTATTCAGCTACGATAGAAGTTCTACCAGGAGCGGTGTTTCTCGTAGGAGCTTTTCTCATGGTTCCTGCTCTTGTTGTACTATGGTAAGATACTCTCATTTATAGTTTTTGATATTAATTAGGACACTTTTAGAAGTAACATAAAAATCCTTTCATCCATTCTGATTTTCAAATTGTTGGACTAGAACATTCATTATGTAACTTGCATGTTTGCTTTTTCCTTGTTTATTTTTTACTTTTAATTCAATTTAATCACGTAAATTTAAACTTTTTTTTCAGTTATTTATTCTACGAATACAGAAAGCAAGTCGGAAAATCGCAATCTAATCAAAATCAGAATTCATAATAGTTTTAGAGACAGGAAAATAAGTATACATTATAATAGAAACTATTTAAGGTTGGAAGGAACTTGAATTTTAAAGTGAAAAACGGTATTTACTGAATTCTTTGAAACGCTTTTTGTATGAAAAGAAGATATTTTTATTTAAGTGTGTATATGTGTGTAAAGCCAGCCAGACGACATTTCAGTACTCAAATCGAACTTTAAAATGTTTTTACCTTCGAAAAGTTGCAGAAATTCCAACATCATAATTGGATTCTAATAATGCCCTGTGGATGATATAAGTGCAATAGAGTAATTATTCATCTAACTGTTTGATGGAATCTTTGAATTTTAACATCTCTGTTCTGATCTATATCTGGTCTATCAGAATGGTGGCTAACTTCTTCGAGTTATAAAGTAATCCATTATACACCTGTTCAGAGATTACATCGGAGATTGCAAAGGACACGTTTTACTTGTACTAGAGTAATAAGTAATTTGTATATCCGTTTCAACTCAAAACCAATCATTTAAATTGTGACAAAACGATGCATGGTAGGGCTGCAACCGTAATGTGACTGATAATTAAATTTGTCCAATATAGAACTTGATTTTTTTAGTCATATAAATTTAAATAAGAATTAGTTTTCACATTAATGGCTGGTTTTTTATTCCTCAGATAAACAGTTAGATAGCATTTAATTTTTTGTGACGTAATTTTGGATTTTTCAATGTTCAGATAGCTATTATCAGAAGAAAATGCTTAAATCTTAGGAATAACTTTATCTGTCATTTCACGCCTCAGTTAGTGATAGTATCTGTAGAACAAGTTTGTTTACAAAGTATTTGTTTATTTGTAGCTATAAGAGGAGGAGTCCGTGTGGTGACGGATTAAGAATACAAATTGTCACCACCCCAATTCATCCCGTGGGTGTCGTAAGAGCCGACTAAGGGAGCAAACTAAGCAGGACAACAGCACTGCAAAGAGAAGGAAAACTTGAAACAAACCCTATACCTACCAACCCGTCTGGCCAGCGTGGTATAGTAGGCCAAAACCTCCTTTCTAAGGAGAGGCCTATGTCCAGCAGTAGACTAGTATAGGCTGTTGATGATGATGATTGATGATAAGAGGTAGCCATAGTTAAGGATGTTAATCAGCAGTATAGTCTAGCCACCATAGTATAGGCGCTGTCCAGTTTGGAATTAGTCGTGTGTAAAATGTGTGAGGTTATTAGTCCTAGTACTTATCTAGTCGTACATAGGTTGTGAAAATTGACGATGTAACGAGGAGGAAATTAACTTTGGGGTACCACAAGGGAGATGCTCCCTTGTGGTACCCCAAAGTTAATTTCGATAATCTCGGCCCAACAGCCTTAGTATACATATCAACGATTTATTCAAGATGACTCTAAAAGCAGTATTATATATACATATGCTGATGACACAAGATTATTGATATATGGGATCAATTCGTAAGAAGCGAAACACTATGCTGAGAATGCTTTGAGAGAGATGATTTTTTATTTATTTATTTGTTGTTACAATATAAGGTACATTTTAAACAGTAAGATGCGACATGAACTCATTCGAGTTTTTCCGTGCTTCAGTGTCATCACTTATACATATTTATATTTACTTAACCAGTTAATTATTCTTAATTAATACATTGACTAAAACAACAAAATCACACACACCACATCATAATCAACTTTTTTTTCTTAAAGACAACTCCCGCATTAAGAATATATCCTGTGTTGCGGGGGACTTTACAAACATACATGAAACGGACACAAAGAACACCCAGACTCAGAACAACAATTTGTGTCAACAATCACACGACGTGTCGTCCCATGTGGGGTTTGGACCCACAACACTCGGTGTAGAAGGAAGCGGCGTGGCGACCGCTCAAACCACTACGCCATCCGTGCAGTCAAAACATGTCACCGGTATACTTACAAATATCGGAAAAAGAAATAATTAATTTGAGTGGGAAGTCATTGTAGGTTAATTTAGTTCCCACTGCGTGATACGTCACCGTCGGTACCGCACATTGCCGATGCCGATGAGTTTGTTATCTACTAACCTACTTACTCTTAACGTTGGAGAAACTAAATTAATTCGTTTTTGTACTCCTAACACTTCTAAACCTCCATTAGAAGCGCAAACTCTTGTCACTCATCTACAAGTATCACACGATTGCGATAATCCGATACCGACTTGCTCTTGCCCAAGGTTGCCACACACGATATCTCGGTGTGCTTATCGATGAGCTGGCAGCCACAAGTGGAAACTCTGAACGTCAATGTCTTCTCCACGCACGTGTGTCATGTGTAAGAGGATCTATTCTAGTGTGGGAGCACAAAGGTTACTCCTCAAAGTCATGAATTATAAACCTCGGGTTTTGTCAGTGAGGCAACTAATTATACTCCGTAGGTACCTTGTTTGAGCAACACTCGGAAAATTCTATAAATCTTGATATCATGCAAAATGGCGAGGTGCCATCATTTGCCAACCAGTAAGAACGGGTTTTGCACTGAGGCAACCGAGAGTCAATAGAGAGAGAGGCAAAGAATACAACGTAAATAAAAAGATACCAATATATACCAATTTTAAACTAAAATTAAATAATTGGTTAAAAATCCTAACCTATAACAAAGCAGAGAAACTAATAACCACAATTAGCTAGTAAGCACGTATATTTACAAAAAAATATAAAATTAAAAAAATATAATAAAATGTTTTATTATCAGACATCTAGGTCCATAGTGTAAATATTTCAAACAACTTAATGTAAAAGAGTACCTGTATACATGGGGAGTTCCACTAAGCTACATTTAACAAATGCAGCCTAGTAAATCTGCCCCTGACAGGCCCATCCACCGTCTCTGCAAATACCCTCAGAGCCAACTGCAAATACCTTCTTAAGCATTATCGCGTAGTAGTCATCAATGTGTGCATCAGCGAACATGCCTAATGCACTGTAATAGAGGGGGAAGCCTCAACACCCTGAAGACATTGTTGCATTGTATACGCAGAGCATTGTCCGATTTTTGGGTATGATTACCCCTAAGACTACAGGTGTAAAATGTTTTGCAATATGCCTTGAACAATGTTATTTTAACAGGTACGGAGCAACCAGCATAATGAAAACAAGTTTTTTTTAAACATTAAATAGACCTGACATTGACATCTGCCAATAACAACCTCTTGATACTGTTATCAAGAGGTTGTAATTGGCAGATGTCAACACATTATAATTTAAGCATGTAGAGAACCTACAGGTTCCCAGCATACGAGAATGACTCAGTCTGGGAACCTGTATTAACATACTTGCCACTGTACAACAAATAATGGATTTTTTTTAAACTCCTGCATTAGGAATAAGTATATCCTGTATCGCGGGGGGATTTTACAAACATACATGAAACGGACACAAAGAACAGCTAGACTCGGAACAACGATTAGTGGATCACACAAAGTGTAGTTCCATGTGGGGATCGGACCAACAACACTTAGCGTAAGCGGCGTGGCGACCGCCTAAATCACTACGCCATCCGTGCAGTATATAGAAATATATTGATTTTATTGTCATTAAAACGTGTAGTCTGTGTTTAAGTGTCTGTTTTTGTTTATATCTGTTCTGTATTAATTGATGTAAATTCTACGAAAAAAATATTATTATTATTGTTATGTCGAATTTGTTCTTTCTCAGCTTTCGCAATAATTTCCTAACACTGGTTTAGCTATTTCGGAGATTAGCCCAGACCAAAAATGACACTTTGTGTGTAGATATAGTTTGGATGGGGACACTATAATTTGACATCTTGGAGCTGATCCGAAGATACAATCAATGGACAGTAGAACTTTTCAGTGGCTGCTAGTACACCCCTCGAGTTTAGACCTGTATGATTTGTTTTGACGAGCCCTATAAATTAGTGATTTTATTAGTTTCACTAAAGTGTAATATATTTTTTATGAAGATTATTTTCAGTCTTTATTGCCTTAAATGTAAGTGACTTGGAATTAATTTAGGTTGATCTTAATATAGTTTTAGCTTCAATGTCCAGTAGACATATTTTCATTAGTTAGTTAGTCTTTTAGATCGGTTTCTTTCTATCTTCCATAAATACAGCTATCATTATTTACACGATTTAAATCATACTGGTCTTAGTTTTGTACCATTGATTAATTGAAGCTGATGTGTCTGCTAAAAGTAATTCTAAATATATGTATAGTATCATCAGTTCATCATCAATATCCTTAAATGGTCCATTGTTGGACATACGCCTCTCCTTTGAAAAGAGCTTTTGGCCTACCATACTACGCTGACCAGGGTTGGTGTAGAGTTTGTTTCAAGTTTTCCTTCTCTTTGCAGTGGTCTTACGACAGCATACGATGAATAGGGGTGATGATGGCCACGGGATAAATAGGGGATGACACTCCGTATTCTTAATTTATCACCACACGGACTTGGTGTGTAGTCAGTGATAAAAGTAGGAAATTTCTAGTAAAACGTAGGTAGTCCTTAACTACCGACGGCTAATTCAGGCCTCTAGCTTTGTCCACCACGAAATCCAAGTAATGGTTGGCTGTAAACTTGTTTATTCTTTATCAATGTAATGGAGATTAAACGATTATATGATTAACTTACTGAAAGTGTTTGTTATCTAAAAATTGCCACAGAGCCATTGGCTTATCATAACGTGCTTCGAGTGTGTTGTATAAGAATTGTGTAATGCTATTGAAAACAAATGTTACTTATTAATTATATCATAAATTCAATCGTATTCTTGGAAATGAGAAATACATTATAAAAAAATATTATGTACTATAGGATTGGACAAATAATTCCGAGGCTCCGCGCCAATAGTATCATCGTTGATATTTAAATGACAAGATAAAATAAATTTAAGTGTCCGGAGTAAATTTCCGGAGCCACCTTTCTTAGATTCTACCGATACCGTAGGTACTATAAATACCTTTGTAATACCGTGTGGTTTTACTCGCTTCAACTACACTACACCGATTCTTTCAGTGAGTTGATAAACTGTCGAAGTTTTGATAGGTTGTCGTGTTCAATATAAAATGTCGTTAGGCAACAAATTAAATAACACCTCAAAGAATGTTTTGCATTCTGACCGAATAGTCTTATTAACAAATTTAGTAATTGACTGATATTTACTTCCTAATTTCTCTTCGGCAGTACTTTTTAATATATTGTGTTCTTCGTGTTATCTTTTTATTGCCGGCCTTTTTTTAAAGTTCTGGATTTTTTAACTCTTTTTATTTACTATGTGCAATAAGTTATATTTAATCATTATTATCTCTTAAAAGGCTTCTGTCTATCGTGTTCGCATCAAGTTCATACAAAAATATTTTTGTGAATAATGTATGATTTCATAAAACAATAAGATTTAATTGTAGGATTACGTGCAAGTCATTTAATTAAATAAATGGACTTACATTGTACAAAATATTATAAGAGATAAAATTTGTCAGAACTACATGTAGTCAGAACTCTTTATATTACGAGTATATTCAGTAAATATCATGAACATTAAAATCTACATATAATAAATATAATATCTCATATATTTAGTTAAATAGCAATTATTGTGATAAACAGGGATTAGTCTACAAAGATAGGCACAATAGAATGAGTTCAACCATATCAACGAGTAGAACTCACGATTTATCGTATTGAATTATATTATCTTTCATTAGTCGGTAATAAAACCTTTTGACGGCTGCCTGAAATATTTGTAATGTATAAAAGTGTACTTATAAAATAAATAGTGATTATCGAAATGACATCTAATACAGAAAACAAGGTGTACAACTATAATCATGTTGAGCCTACGGAAGTAGATCCCTTAAGACAAGATGAAACAGAGAAAGGAGAAAAAGAGAAATTAGGTTTCCGTGAGAACGTCCATCGTGTACTTTCAAATATAACGGTGGAGCCAAGTCTCTTGTTGTTCGTATCTGCGGCAATGTTAAACATGATGTCATCACAAAATCTCCAATTAGAAAAAGCATGTCGCGTGAATTTAAATTTCTCGACAGAAATTTGTGATTCTTTGAGAATACAAAATGTTGTGAACCATAACGAGTATGAAAGAGAAACACAGAAACTATTAGCAAAGGCACTTACTTGGAAAACGTATATGACAGCAACTTTACCTTGTATTTTTGCTCTTTTTGTTGGGTCTTTCTCTGACAAAACAGGACACCGAAAAATATTTATGCTCATTCCAATGACCGGGCAATTACTGATGTGTATTAACAATATGTTTAATGTGTATTTCTTTTATGAGATCTATTTGGAAATAACAGTTTTCTCCGAGTCTTTGCTTGAAGGATTAAGTGGAGGATGGTGTATTTGTTTCTTAACAGGGTTTGCCTATATTAGTGCCATTACTACAAATAAAGACAGAACCTTTAGGATGGGGCTTGTAAGTTTTTGTATAACAGTTGCCTTTCCGATCGGAATGGGACTCAGTGGAGTTTTGTTAAAGAGTTTTGGGTACTATGGTGTGTATGGAATATCTATGTCCTTGAATGTATTCAATATGCTCTACATTATTTTTGTGGTCAAAGATCCAAAGAGAACCCGTGAACAGAAGAAAGTAAGTAAAATATTTGATTTGATTTTTTAATTTTATTTCTATATAGCTTTTGTCTTTAGAATATCTCGGGGCGGTCGGCGGCGTAAGCCTATGTCCTTTTTCAAGAATCAAACTATCTCCATAATAAAATTTCATCTAAAACGGTTCAGCGATTATTGTTTCCCCATAAAAATCCCACCCATTTTTTCACCCCATTAAAACGTGATTTTTGGGATAAAAACACACTATGTGCCTTCCCGGGACTCAAACTGTTGGTGTACCAAATTGCATCTAAATCGGTTAAGCGGTTTAAGCGAGAAGAGGTAAGAGACAGACAGACAGACGTACTTTCGCATTTATAATAGTATGGATGCATCAAAATATTTTGATTATTTTGCGCCTAATTTTTTTAAACACTTAACGTATATAAGCCCCTCCCCCTCATATACGTTTAGTTTAAAAGAAAAGAAAAGAATTAAAATATCTCGGTTAGATAAAAAAAGTGTTGTTGTGTAATTTGTGGATTCGAGGTCAAATATTTTGGCTTAAATACTGTAAATCTCGGAATCAATCGCTTCTTTATTGTCAATAAAAATCCTGCAGAGTAGTATGCATTATAAGAAAACCTTTTTTTAGTTTTCAACACTTTACTGGTCAATGTTACAAGGAAAATTACAAAGCCCTCTTCAACTTAACTTAATTTGTTCTATATAACACCCATACAACTTGTTACTTATATTAATGTTTTATTCTAATGGCGTATACTTCAAATCGACTTCTTATTTATACTATCGAATCATACGTTTTTTTAAGTTATGTTTTTAGCTCAATACTAGTTTACATTTTAATGTTCAAAACACGACAACAATCAGTTCTAATAGCATTTTAAATTTATTTATATCGATATAACACTTGGACTTATCGTTCAGTTACATTGTCACAGTTATATATTATGACAAAAAATAATTCATTCATTTTCTAAAAACCATTCTTGTATTGTGATGTATTAAGTTCTTTCCTAGTAATTAAACAATCCAATCAAAACACCTAACCTAGTTTTTGTATAGATATAGTAAGTAATAATAAAGTTATTAATTTCAAGTCAGCCCCTGTAAAGTAAGCACTCTTCCCTCCCACACCACTGCAACTCCTGTGCAACAGGATCAACAGCAGTGAGCCACGGTGAATCACAGAAGAGTAGGTATGTGTGAGTGAGAGAGAGAGTATTTAATTTTGTTTCATCCACAGCACGACCGGCAAAGTTGTTGTCACTTATTCCGCACTTTCTTCGATATATCAAATGTGAAAGAAACTGTGAGTGTGATTGTGAAAGATGCGCCAAATAACAGAAGAATACGTTTATGTGTTCTCTTAGGTGTGGTAACTGTACTCTTTGGACCAATGTACGGTAAGTTATTACTACTTTTAGTTACGACTATGAATTCAGATGTAGATTTTCAAACCGTAGTTATTGTACAATAAGTATCTGTACGTGATTAAGCAAATTAGGATTATAGTTCATTCGCGTTAAGAAAATAGTGACGCATCATCAAGCAACGCCCTCTGTCCAATTAGATTTTAAGAAATTATCGTTTCGTACGAAAGCCTGAAACTTGGTTGGTCAGGGCTAGGGGCTTGATCTATGCGTCATTATTGGGTAACTGTAGGCCACTCTCTAAAACCTGTCTCTTCTTGTGTACCATTGACCATGTTATTTTACCTTAATTAGTTTATAAAACACGAACTGATAAAGTTTATTTTCAGTTTATTTCATATGTATTATATTGGAACGAAGTTCCTTCTCGCGCGTTGTGAAAGGGGGCTAGACGGAAAAAATTCGTACGAAAATTTGGAACGACACTTTTTTATTAATATAAATTGACGTCTAACTGTGGATACCATACATTAAATTTGCTTTAACGTTCGCCAACGTCCATACCATGTTGAATACACCGGTTCTCGTCCGATCACCGAAGTTAAGCAACATCGGGCGTGGTTAGTACTTGGATGGGTGACCGCCTGGGAATACCACGTGATGTTGGCTTTTTGCTCTTTATTTTCGTGTCATCTTGTCAGACATTCAGCGCCATCTATCGAAAAGATAGGAAATCATTTCGCAAGGAGATTTTACCAATGTATAAATTGTTTTAATTGTTTTTAATATGTAGGTAATAGCCGCTTTCATAGATGGCGTTGTCATTAAAATCGTGTCAAATCAGTTTTACTCGATCGTCACAACTTCGTTCCTATCGGGTGTCCCACGACACCACACGGCTTTTTTTTTATAGTTTTAATTACATAAACAAATACTAAAAATTCAGATCGTTTCGCAATATGTTGGTAATGTGCTTATATTTATTATAATTGGTCAATTTTGTATTATAGGTTATCTAGATTACATATAATTATGTTAGATATATCATTTATTGAGTATGCCATAAATAGAAATGATAAACGATCATAAACAAAAAGTTAACGCCCATATTTCAAAATATTTTTTGAAACTTATTCGAATTAACAGATTAATAATATACTACATTTTTGTTACGTTTCTTTATAAAAGTCCTCCCATTAGAAACTGATTTCAAGATATTTCAAGGTTTTTTTAAGATTTATTCGAATTAACAGAATAATAATATACTAAATTTTTGTTACGTTTCTTTATAAAAGTCCTCCCATTAGAAACTGATTATTTATATTTAACTATATATATATTATAATGATTAATGTAAGAAACGTGGCTTTTATCTCGATACCTCCCACGTAAGTTGTTGTATCCCCAAAACTGCAATTTTACAATAGAGCAGTTTAAAGATACAAATTGAATTAAAAACTGCATTTATTATTATATTTTTGTAAAATTTGGTATACGAATATAATTTGTAGTATTCTTGACTATGTTAACAGTTTTTTTTTTAAATTTGTATATTTTTCCGGTTCCGGTTGTCAAAGTGCCAACAGCGTTGTGACTATACCTCTAGAAAATTAAAGATTTAAAAAAAGTTATACGATACATCTGAACAAAAACACCGTTGAAAACAACACTACAGATGCCGGGGCAGACCTAGAAAACACCATCCATCGAATTCGCATCACATCTGTCCAGTAAAGTGAAATTGAAGATCAACAACAACATCCGAGGTCAGAACATTAATTAACCGCCATTTTGAATTATTTAATATTTCAACAAAATATTTCAACTGATAGTCTTGTGTCACTGATACTTTGATGTCACTCTGTCACTAAGTTCGTTTGGTATAAACTACAGTGTTGCTAGAACAAGAAAACCTAAAGTTACTATTTACTTTTACGTTCCGTTCCAAGTAACTTGTCCCGAAATTATGGAGGGACAATTTGAAATATTATTTGAAAAAATGAAAATGGAAATGAAAAATCAGACAATTGAATTAACAGAATCTCTTACAAAAAATATTATGGATCGGATGGATGAAAAACTAATGCCTATCAAGGAGGAAAACGAAAAACTGAAAGAAAGAATCGGCAAATTAGAGAAGGAGATAGAACACTTTAAAAGGGAAAAGAAAAGTAATAACCTAATTATTTTTGGATTAGTAGAGGGCGAAAACTCAACAGCTGAGTTATTCCAGATTATAAAGGAGAACTTCAAAAGAGATTTAAACATCAAGCTAGAAGAAAACGAAGTAAACAAATTAAACCGCTTAGGGAAACCAAAAGCCGAGAACAAACCGAGACCTGTATTATGTTCCCTCCTAAGCGAATGGAAGAAGAATGAAATTATGAAAAACAAAAAGAAACTAAATGGAATTTATGTATCGGAGGATTATTCGAAAGAAGTATTAGAGAAAAGGAAAGCTCTAGTACCGCAATTACTAGAAGAGAGGAAAAGAGGAAGCATAGCTTTTCTGAAATACGATAAAATAATAATCAAAGAACCCAACACCAACAAAGATAAAAGGAAAAGGGAACAATCTACCTCACCACAGTCACCGTCAAAAACTCAGCCCAAAAAACAACAAACACTGAGCTCTCTCAAAAACACCAACAACAGAACAAACGCCTTTGATGCAATGAGAATCAAATCAAACTCTCTAACCAATATTTCCACACGCAAGAACCAATAGCCATTAACATTCGGAACACCGGAAATTCAAACAAACTACGAAAACCAACAAAATGTAAAAACACAATCTCCCCCAATCCGACTGGTCCTCGTGGGGGATGAAGACCACAACCCTCCAACACTACAAATAAGGGAAGATAAAATCTATATTGCAGCACTGAATACCCTCACTCTAAAAAATGAAGAAAACTTAACGGAATTAACATTCGCGCTAGAACATATCAAATGGGACATCGTTGGTCTTAGCGAAGTGAGGCGATTGGGAGAAAGAATTGTTTCGTATCGGGATTTCTTGTTGTACCATATAGGGACCACTCCTGGCCACCATGGGGTCGGCTTTATCGTAAAGAAACACCTGACAGACTATATAGAAGGATTTATGGGCATTTCGGAGCGCACAGCAATGATGAATTTAAAGCTACCAGGATACCAAGACTCATGGTCTATTATACAAGTGTACTCACCTACAGAACAGTCAGACCTAGAAACAATAGACACATTTTATCTTGAATTAAATAAAGTCATCCGAGATCACGCTCATAAAAATTTAATAGTAATGGGAGACTTCAATGGCAAAATTGGAGACAAGGGTCCTGGAGAAAACACACTAGGACCATTCACATATTGCAACAAAACCAGAAGCAGGAACGGAGAAAAAATTATGAACTTCACACTAGAAAACAACCTTACTATTTTAAATACTATATATAAGAAAAATAAGAAAAGAATGTGGACTTGGATCTCACCAGACGGGAAGACAAAAAATGAAATTGATTTCTTTATGACCAACAAACACAGTTACTTCAGCAACTTCAACGTCATCAACCAACTCAACTTTAACACCAATCATAGGCTGATCAGAGCCGAATTAAAAATAAAACAGCCAAGAAAACCTAGACCAAGACAAGATCCAGCAAGTGTAAAGCTCGGAAAATACCAAATGGAACAATTAACAACCAGCCTGAGAGACAAATTCACAAACTTTAAAGCAAAAACAAAGAACCTAAACATACAGGAAAAATACAACTGGATCGAGAATACTATTAAAACTGAAACAAAACTCGCTGCAAACGCCAGTAGGGAACACAAGCAATGGCTTACAACTACCACTATAAAATTGCTCGAACAAAGGAGGCACTTAATTAACACAAGAGACGCAAACGACAGAAGAAAACATCTAACAGAAATTAACAAAGAAATAAAGAAAAGCATAAGAATAGATAGGAACAGGTATAGAATGGAGACTATTGAAAAACACATATTAAAAACGGGTGGTATCAAAAAAGCATACAAGGAACTAACGAAATCTTTAGACTGGGTAGTAAAAATGAAAAGCAATAGAGGAAAATGGAACCACGACAGAAAAGACATATTGGAAATTGCAACATCCTACTACAAAGAATTGTATGAACGCAACAACACCTCGCGAGAAGAAATAAATTTAATAGAGACCTCAGATATCCCCAAGATTCTTCACGTAGAAATAGAGAAAGCAATAGACACACAACGGAAAGACAAAGCACCAGGGCCCGATGGTATAAGCAACGAGATCTTGATACGAAATAAGCAGGCAATCATACCGATCCTTACAGAAATGTTTAATGATATTATAGACACAGAAATTATCCCACAGCAATGGACAGAATCAAACATCATCCTTTTATATAAAAAGGGAGACAAACACGACATCGGAAACTATCGTCCAATCAGTCTCATGTCTAACATATATAAGATATTTGCCAAGATAATTTTAAAACGGATAGAAGGAACACTAGATGATCATCAACCCATCGAACAAGCGGGTTTTCGGAAAGGCTACTCAGTAATAGATCACATTCATGCTGTCCGCCAGGTCATAGACAAGTATAAAGCATACCAGCGCGAGTACTACATTGCTTTCATCGACTATACCAAAGCATTCGACTCATTATACCACGAAAAAATATGGAAGTCCCTAAAGGAACAAGGAATCGAGCAAAAATATATCCGCTTAATAAGAAATGTATATAGTCATAGCACCGCAAGAATCCAACTAGAAAAGAAAGGTAAACCATTTACAGTAGGAAGGGGTGTCAGACAAGGAGACCCTCTATCTCCAAAACTATTTTCAGCGGTTCTCGAAACAATCTTTAGGGGTCTTAACTGGGCATACCTGGGAATCAATGTCGACGGAGCCTCCCTAACACACTTGAGGTTTGCAGACGACATAGTGTTATTTGCTGAAACACCGGAAAACATACAACAAATGATACATGAACTAGCGGATGAAAGCGAGAAGATAGGTTTAAAGTTGAACCCAGAGAAAA